GGGGGGGGGGTCCCCACAACATTATAAGAGAGCTGAAAATTCCTGTCGCCTAGTAACATTGCAGGCTTTGTATTGTCGTAGTGCAACACGTTACCTTTTCTGTGTGTAAGTGTGTTTAGATACACAAATTCTTACCACTATCTTACACTTGCCTAGAGTGTTCAACGTATGCTAACAGGTGTGTAGCCAAGGAGCAACAGGCTATCCTACACGGCCTGGGTGTGTAGTAGGCTGTTCCGTCTAGGTACATCTCGGTACATACACTCTCTGATATTTGCACAACCCTGAGTTCACCTAATGACCCATTTCTCAGCTATAGCCCTGTCATTAAGTGACACCGGACAGTTTCTGTGGAAGTTGAGGCCTAGGTCTCAGTCCCTTTGAGTTCACTCTGATGGTTTACTTGGTTTGCTTCTTTGAAGAACCAGCCCTGGGAAGGGAGCTTCCTGAATTACTATTTCATTACTGTAATCCAAGCATTTAGGACAGGCTGAGAAGGACTTTGGGAAGAGCAGAGCACCAGAAGCGTGGCCTCTCAGAGGAGTTAAGGCTCAGTCGGGCGGTACTGTGAGCTCAGCCAGTTTGGGGTGTGAGCTGGAGGCACAGCCAACGCTGAATCATTTTCTGCTTATCACTCATAGACTGTCAGGTTTTCTTTTTTTGTTGTTAGAGGGAAAGCACCTTACAACAAATAATAATACTATTTTGAATTTCAGAGCTTTCCCTTTTTCAGAGCACTTTACCATCTTGCCTTATTTTGTCCTCCCAACGAGGCCATAAGCTAGGCTGGGGAGGGCTGTTTAGTCTCTAACCGCCTAGGAAAGAGTTCAATCTTATGAAAGAGTGAAGGTTTTGTTCTTTTTCATTCCTGGCCATACCCGAGTACTTAGTGGCATACTTTGAAGCAAATGGCCACAGATCTGTGATCCTGCAGTGGGTGGTGCTTTTAAGGGACAAGCAGCACTTGGCATTTGTTCTCTTGCTTCATCCGAGGTTCTGAACCCTTGTGTCTTCATTCTCTGGGGCCATTCCTTGCTCAGAGCTTTGTGTGTTCTGCAAAGGTGGTAATGAT